GACAAGAACCGGGGTGTGTGGGGTGCAGAGGCCCAGGTGCTGAGATGGGGTGCGCAGAGGGGACTCCGGGAAGCCCTCCAGCCCGCGTCGGGGGCTGCTGGGAGCTCCGGTCCCCGGGCCCATGGGAGAGCTGGTCCCAGCAGAGCAAGGGTGGCCATCCCTTCGAGGCCAGGCACTCCCCGCCCCCTCCTCCCCCAGGGCCACACAGGCTCCGGCAGCACTGGCTCAGAGGCTGGTCATTCTGAGGTCAAACCAGGAGCAGCATCGACAAGCCCCCGGGCCAGTGTGGCCCACCCGCTCCTCGATGTTTTGTGTGGACACAGCCTACACAGGCCCAGCCCCGCCCCCCCCGCCACTCCTGCAGCTCAGCGCCGTGCCCCGGGTCGTGGCCACAGGGTGGACGCAGAAACATGTGGTCCAGGCCTCAGGACCCTGTGGTGGCCGCGGGCCCTGAGAACAGCGGGCAGAGGAGCTGGGAGCCGCCTGGCCTCGGGCCGCCCGCTGGGGCTACTGTGATGCAGGAGAGAGTTAACTCTGGTTAAGCCGCTCTTGGGGTTTCCTGATCCTCAGCTGAACCCGACCCCACCACACGGCCTCCCTGGCCTCCACCTTCCTCTCTGTCAAATGGGCGCGATAGGACACCCGTCTCCCAGGACGAGGGAAGCGGCTGCGCACAGGCACCCCCAGCCCCCAGCCCCGTCACGGCTCCCAGCACCCTCAGAGCTCCAGGCTAAACAGCAGGGGCCCCCTGGGCGCCCACGCAGAGCACACAGTGGGGCTCAGGACATGGGCGTTGGGGGGCAGGGAGCACAGCAAGGGCTGGGATCGGAGAGAACGGCACCCGGGGACTCAGAAACGTGAGGGGCGGAGGCTCAGCCCCCCCACACCTCCACCTCCTCCTCCTGGGCCCGGACCAGCCCCTGGGGCGACCAGCACCTCCTAATTCTCCACATCGCTCGGCCCGCACAGCCACATCCCTGCAAACTCAGGCGCACAGCCCCCCGCCTGCCGTGGGGGGTCATCACTGTGACCGTCCCTGTGGGGTCCGAGGTACAGGCTGTGGGTTCCGGGTCCCAGGCCCCCTTCTCCCTGGGGAGGACAGCACCTGCCCTTCTGTCCTGGAGGGGCCCCTTGGCCGAGCCTGAGTCTGGGGGCTCCCCCGGGGAGGGAGGGGCGGAGGGCTCCCGCCAGGCACCATCAGGGCGGCCAGGGTCCCAAGAAGGACACCCCGCTGCACAGAACCTCGGGGGAGGCTGGGGCCCAAGTGGGGC